AATAGCGACAAGACAATGAACCAATCACAATTCACTAGAGCACTCCGCTGGATTGCTCCGGGGCCCACATAATTTTGGCATGGAATAGTGCACAGTCTATGGCGTTTATTTTTAGACTGCATACAGTGGGCTATGTTTCGGCGCTATTCGGCAGGAGCACATTTGAGATTGCAACACAATCAGGTCATAATATAAGTGCCGAAGATTAGAGGTGTTACACGAGAGTAAGAAACACAAAAAAAGAAAGAGGAAGAGATCAGGATGATAGATGTTTGATAAGAAAGAAGGAGCAAACCTCACCAGAGCACCCGCCATCCACCCACACTGAAAGGTTTGAACGTCTCATACTTTAGCACTTTTCGTGTGTGGTTTTTTTTCTTGTTGAGAAAAAAAGGGGAGGGGGTGATAGTTGTGCTGTTGATATTTTTTTCTTTGTTGTTGCTGATGCTTCTACGGCTGCTGTTACTGTCTATGTGATGAGGCTGATTTGATGTGATAAATCATCATCATCATCATCATCATCATCATCATCATCATCATCATCATCATCATCATCATCATCATCATCTATCATCATGGTCATCGAATAACAAAAGGTACTAACCATTTCATGGGATATTTTGCGAAGCCATTGGATTATACAGAAACGCAATGACCCTTCTTCCCTACTACTCCCAAGTGTAGGATATCGTGAATACATTTTATTGTGCGTTTGAATTTATCAGGTACAAAGAACAGTTGAGCTTGTTACCAGATTTCGTTTTGTCGATAAAGCGACACATGATTGTGTCATTGGTAAAACACAACATAGAAATAATCCTAAAATGAAACAAAACGTGCTCACCACTTTCAGGGTTCCAAGTCTCGAAAGTGACAAACTAGGAAGCTTGTCATATCTCGACACACGAACGTAGAATGGCAAGACGAGAAGGAGGAAGGCGAAGGGAGTCCATGTTACAAGATGCTCCCAGTCCACTTGTAGTTTCGATTGTTCATAGGGACCCTGGGGGCTGGTTGTTGCCCTGCCCACCATGTCTTCACCCTACGGGAGATAGGGGAGATTGTG